CCTGATCACCGTCTCCCAGTTCTCGGATTGGACAGAGGTCGACGAACTTCAGGATACCCTCGCAGCCACAATCATTAGCAAGACCAAGGCTCACTTTGCCCGCTTTGGCATCCCACAGATATGCCATACTGACAATGGCCCACAATTCGCTTGCAAGGAGCATGACGATTTTGCCACCCAATACGGATTCCAACACAAAACCTCTTCACCATACCACCCCCAAGGAAATGGAAGAGCCGAAGCCGCCGTCAAAGTGTCCAAATCGATATGTTAAAGAAAGCGGATGACCTTCAAACCGCGCTGCTTAATTACCGGAACACCCCACCCCAGGGACACACTTCCTCACCTGCACAGCGCATGCTTTGCCGAAGGACAAGAACTACCCTGCCAACACCAGACCACCTTCTAAAGCCATCGCCACTCAACCCGGAGATGGTCGCTCAAGAACTCAGCCTTAAGCGGACTGCGAGTAAACAATACTACGACAGGTCAGCATCCAAAACACACAGTCGTCTGCGTATTGGCTCCCGCGTCTATGCGAAACCACCAGCGACACAAAAGAGTCGGTCCTGGATATGTGGCACGATCATTTCGCGAGACACACCTCGATCCTACACCATTCAAACCCCGATTAACAGTATCCGTAGAAACCGTGTCCACATCAAGCCAGCAGCCCCACAATCTAATCTACCAACACTTGACAGCACTCCGCCATCGAGCTGCGAGCCAAACCCTCCAAGCAGGAACTTTCCCATAGCGTCTCCGACTGAAGAAAACAGTACCCACTCCGCACCACCTGTGCAGACTCTACTACAACAGCCAGCTACGGAAACCGCCACACCCAGCGAGACAGAGGGCCCTGCGACTCACGCCAACACAGGCGACAACACAGAGAACCCTGCATCCGAGGCTAACCAAGTCAGACCCCTTAGACCTACACCAGAAAGTACCACTTCAGAGACTTCCCCAGAGAACACCAGAACGCGAACCCGGATAATTAAACCTCCTTCAAGGTTCAGAGACTATGAATTGACCTAGTCTGGTCTATCTTAACTGACACTTCTTGCTTTACTCTTTAACTTGTACGTTTTGCATCTCCTCTCGTTTACAAGAGGGGAGATGTTGGGGACTAGGACCGAGGCTCTCTCGGTCCTATTCCCTCTCGGTCGGATTGCACCATTATCTGTAGCGATCGCACATGGCAGATATATAGTTAGTTGTTTATTACGTCTCTGTTCCTTGTTTCACCCACTACGCACCGCTGAACTCTGTGTTACGCATCGAACCAAGGAGTTCACTGTTCACTCGGCTTGCCAAACGAAACAAACTAAACAAGCAACACGTTGACATACGACATTCATACGATATTCATACGAAGCTATACAAACGATATTCACACACGATATTCATTGAACAAGACGCCTAAAAGCGATTCCGTGGGATGCTTTGGCTAGGGAGCGTACCATTGAAATGAATTGTGAAGTTACAGTAACGTGCCACGATTAATTAGTTAGACCAGCCATAGAAATCACTGTAGAAAGTCTTGAAGAAACGGTCACTGTGTTTGTAGTGGAAAATAGGGTAGGCGGAAAATTACTGTGAGAGAAGAGCCTTGGTCTCCTTCCCTGGCTCCTATTTCTTCTTTCCGGGTGATCTACAAGATAAAACATGAGTGTGCATGGTGTTTAACTGAAATAGTATTGCAACCTGGAAAATGGAATTTGTATTTTTTAATATTTCTTATGAGGCCATATTAGAAAAGAAAAATACAAATTCCATTTTCTGCCAGAAAATCTTGAGATATGAATGGTAACGCAACGTTTTAATTATTTTGAAGACTAACATATTGTGAAGGGCTGTATTGCCGTCAGTGAACGTAACGAATCTTCTAAAACATTAACAGGCTAAAGTACTGATTGTCTGTTATATAATTAGAAGCTTTTCTCTTTTTGAGAGAAGAACTGAAGTACATTAACAAAAGTATTGATTGTCATTAGAGGCTCACTTGAGTGAGAGAAAACGTAACGCAACGTAACGCAACTGGCATTGATAATGTGTGCTTGTTTATTCCAGATAACGAAAGGATTAAAGCTTCCATGAGAGATCATGAGAAGCATGAGGAATTCTTCTTAACAAATATTTCCCTTTGTATTTATAAATGTTAACAGTGGAACACTGAAAATAGAATAAACATCGACCGGAATAAACCTTCTCGCAAACACTATTCACATGTGCGTTCTGGTAAACAGGTAAGCTCAATGTCAGCAAAAATACACAAAACCTTAAACATACACGTAGCATGACTGTAGACTCATGGATTGAACTGTGAAAGTTTCGATAAAGTAAAACTCTCGAGGCTTAAATATCTTCGACTGCAAACTAACAAATATTTCAGCGAATTTTTGAAACGGTTGGTGTCGATGTTTTCCGTGAACATACCAGTTGCGTTACGTGGCGTTACGTTTTTCTCTTGCACAAGTTAGCCTCTACGGACAATCAATACTTTTGTTAATGTGCTTCAGTTCTTCTCTCACAAAAAAAAGGGCTCCTAATTATATAAAAGACAATCATTGCTTTAGTCTGTCAATGTTTTAGTAGATTCGTTACGTTTATTGATGGCAATACAGCCCTTCACAATATTTTAGTCTTCAAATAATTAAAACGTCGCGTTACCATTCATGTCTCAAGATTTGCTGGCAGTTCTCAACGTAAGTGATATGGCCCCATTAGAAGAAAAAAAAACAAATTTCATTTTCCACGTTGCAATATTATTTCAGTTAGATCACCCGGAAAGAAGAAATAGGAGCCGGGGAAGGATGCTCTTCTCTCACAGTAATTTCCCGCCTACCCTATTTTCCACTGCAAACACAGTGACCGTTTCTTCAAGACCTTCTACAGTGATTTCTATGGCTGATCTAACTGATTAATCGTGACACTTTACTGTAACTTCGCAATTCATTCCAATGCTACGCTCCCTAGCCAAAGCATCCCACGGAATCGCCTTTAGGCGTCTTGCTGGTTTAGTTTTGGACTACGATAGTGACAAAGTTTTTGCATGAACTAACTTAGTCGTGTAATAAGTTACGGTTAGACAATGAAACCAAAAAACTCAGAAATCTATCCTCTGTTTT